ATTAGGTTCTCAGTGGGTATATCAAAGTTCCTGCCTTTTGTATGCATTAACTAGAAATTTTTACAGAACTGTGGACTGCTGGGTAAATACATCTCCTCCTCCTGAAAATTTCCATCTCTCTTCTGAATGTCTCAGTGGTATTTGTAACAGCAAATCCTTTCCCTTAAGGTCTGATCCTTCCTGACAAGAACTTGTTTCTTTTTGAATAACATATAATGTCGATAGCTTTGATGTCTTTATCTTGCTATAGCCTTTCTTCTTGAAGGAGTTCTTGTTCATTTGTGGCTCTCAGGACATGCTTTATGTAACATCAGCATGATAAGACTTAGAATGGAGGTGTATATCCTGTTGTAAAACTATATCTATTTACCTAGAAAAGATACAAGTTTTCAAAACCATACTAGAAAGTACTGTACTATTTCCAATTTTACTGTGACATCTGAGCTGTGACTACACCATTTGACAAATGCAGATACTGTATCAGATCAGGGCACAGAGAGAAAATACAATATACATTTCTCTCCCTGAGGAAAACAATAATGATGGCTACCTTTGAAAGTGAAGTCTGATAAGCAATTAAAATATGATGATATAAGAGATATATTTTTTCATGACATTTATTGAGCTCTACATTTTTCTCTGCTCCTCTCCCTGCCTCTTCCCTCCCCCCTTCAACCCTCTCCCAAGGTCCCCATGCTCCCAATTTACTCAGGAGATCTTGCCTTTCTTATACTTTCGACTTCCCATGTAGATTATATCTATGTAAGTCTCCCTAGTGTCCGTATTGTTGTCTAAGTTCTCTGGGATTGTGGTTTGTAGGCTGGCTTTCTTTGCTTTATGTTTAAAAACCACCTATGAGTGAGTACATGTGATAATTGTTTTTCTGTGTCTGGATTACCTCACTTAAAATAATGTTTTCTAGTTCCATCCATTTTCCTGCAAAATTCAAGCTGTCATTATTTTTTTCTGCTGTGTAGTACTCCATTGTGTAAATGTACCACTTGTTTTTATCCATTCTTGGATCGAAGGGCATTTAGGTTGTTTCCAGGTTATGGCTATGACAAAAAAAAGCTGCTATGAACATAGTTGAGCACATATCCAAGAAATATAAATTGTAAAAAATAGTTAGAAGTGGTTTGAGCCTTCAACTTTAAGTGGATGACTTTGTTGTCTCGAAGGCAGAGGCATAAATTTCCTATCTCCTCTATGTCCTCTTTTTCCTTGTTCTCTTCATACTCAGGAACTACAGGCAACCAGTATACTGGGACTTGGTATGAGTCCAAAAATATGCAAGGAGAAAATTATCCAGAACATAAACCTGTCCCTCAAATGACATCTTTTTTGAGAGTCCGACTACACATGTGTAACTCCATCTCTAGAAGATCTGACATGTTCTGGTTCCTGCAGGCATGACACTCATGTACTCAAACCCACACACATATACACATCATTTGAAATGAAAGTAGACCATACTAATGTGGAGAGGGAAAGGCTCACAAGGCCACAACATTACACAGAGAACTAGAGATAACTAAGGAATGCTGAGTGTAGAATAGTCTTCTCCAAGGAAGAGCACACAATTGTCCATCAGTAAATGGTTAGCCCAGATGAAATATGCATAAACTAACATTATACCAACTAAGCATATTGTATTTATGTATTTAGGAATATATAATTATCATTGTTTATTATCTATTATTGTATATTATTACATGTAACATATATAACAATAATTAAAGAAAAAGAAGCCATTTGAATTTAAAAGAGAGCAAAAAAGGGTATATGAGAGGATTTAGAAAGAGGAAAGAAATGGAAGAAATTATGTAATTATATTATAATGTCAAATATTTTAATTGTTCTAAAAATTAAAATCATTTAGCCAGGTGGTGGTGGTACATGCTTTTAATCCCAGCACTCAAGAGGCAGAGGCAGGTGGCTCTCTGTGAGTCTGAGGGAGGCCAGCCTGGGCTACAAGAGCTAGACCCAGGACAGGCACCAAAGCTACAGAGAAATCCTGTCTCAAAACACCAATAAATAAATATAATTTAAAAGAAACACAAAATAAACTTAAGGATGGAAGGCTTTATTTACACCACGGTTCAAGGCTATAGTCTATCACTGTAGAAAAGACATGTCAGAAGTGGAAGGCTTCCATCATTAGGAAGAAGAGAGATGAATATTTATGCTCAGCTCATGTTTTCCTTTTTATTCAATCTAAGAACCAACCTGTGGGGATGGTACCACCCACTTAGGGCAGCCTTCTCGCCTTAATTAACCTAATCTAAATAATCTCTCACAGACATACCCAGAAGCTTATCTTTTCAACATTCTAGATCCTATTAACTTGACAACAACCACGGAGATGTGAGTGTGTGTGTGTGTGTAGAGAGAGAGAGAGAAAGAGAGATCAAAGATATATGCATGTATATATACCAAAGCAGAAAGGGGGGAAAGAAGCAGAAAAACCAGAGGATAGTACAGAAATTAAGAGAAAACTTGGGAAAGAGGATACACAAAAATAAAGTATGACTATGACATAAGAAAACCCTTAATGAAATCCATTATTTTAAATGCTAATTTGCAATAAACAAAAGATAAAGAAATAAATAAGAATAACCTATAAGCTGAAAATAAATTAATAAGATGGAACACTTTATAATGATATGAAAAGATTTGGAAAAACTCAAATATGAAATTGTAACTGGTGTGATAAGAACAAAAACATAGGACACAAATTATCTCTGTCAAAAATGAAAGAGACCAATTCATTGCTACAGCATTTAGTATGAGGAAGGATAAAAAGGAACATCATGAACAATTTTATACCAGTAATTTCCAAACCTTATGTAACTGGTCATAACTAAAGATGCTACCAATATGAAATGAGCAACAGCATCAGTCTGTGAACCATCTCATGGTAATGCACTTCAAAACCTTCGTGAAATAGAAAAGCTTCATGAAGCCAACAAATAAACATAGGCACAGCACATCTGAACAGTTCTTATGATTTAAGAAAGCAGAATTCCAAGGTTGGAAGCTTTCTCCAACAGGGAACTCAAGAGCCAGATGGATCACCTGCTGAGTAGTGGCCAACATTTGACTGAGGAGTGAAATTCTATTACAGCTCTTTACAAAGATAAAGAGAGTCTCAAGTACTTTTAAAGCAAGCATTATTCCCAAACTTGAACCAAAGTCATTAGCATAAAGCATTAGAGTAATATACTTCACTCTCTGTGCAAGTCTGAAACATTTTAGCAAATCTAATGCAAACTATGTGCAGGAAAGTACATTGCTGACAAGTGGCATTCACATGAGATCACAAGACTAGCTCAACACTTCAAAACTAATCAATAAAGGGCTAGAAAGATGCCTCCGTAGCTAAAAGCACTGACTTCTCTCCCAGAGAATCCAGGTTTTTTTTTTCCTAACAGCAGCTGTACGGGATCCCAAGCCTTGTTCTGGTTTCCAAGGGCAACAAGCACATATATAACATATACACACACATTCCAGTAAAGAACTCATCCTCATAAAATACATTTTTAGAAAGGGGAGCTCCATTTTTTAAAAAAATCAACTAATGAGTATATTTAACACAATCTACAAACTAAAATAAATGTAAATATCCATCTAATAGACTCACAATTCATTATAAAATACTAGTAAACTGATGGTGATGAAATAGATATGATAGGACATAAAGGTAAGTTATTGAATCTTCTCTGAAAAGAAAAAGGAAGAAGAAAAGAAAAAGAGGGGATATAGAAATAGGTTAAAAAGGTAGATTGTTGAACCTACTTTTCTTTAAAAAAAAAAAGCAACCACTAGTTTTAAATATTTCACATTAATATGGGTTTTTGTATATTGATAAAAATTTAAAGTTATTTTTGTTAGAACATATTCAACATACATATCTAATCTAGTTTAAGGTATTGTACCTATACAGCTCATTTAATAATGTAATGCAAATTTCTAGTTCTTGAAAATTATTATTGCCAACTATTTACGATAATAAGGAAATGCAGGTTAATAATTAGCCCCCTATTACAGTAAAACTTATTAGGTATATTTTCAGGATCAAACAGAGATATATTTTAAATAGACAGGTGGCCCTCAAACACTTCAGAGGTCTGAAGAATATGTCACTTATGATGCTTTAAAAACACAGGTTGGTTTGTGTGTGTGTGTGACAACAAGGCATATCTGGCAGCACCAATCTACCTCATAGAAGAGGATGGGCATCAAAGAAACTCCAAATGGAGTTTGCTTTCTTTGTGGCAGAAGTAAGCCACTGGGCAAGAAGGTGCTCTTGCCTCAACCGCTGACAGTATGCTGTCCAAATTAGACAAGCAGAACACAAAAGAGAGGATGGTCAAAATTTGCCAAGACAAGGTAGGACAGCCCTGCAGAATATACTGCTTTACAGAAAAATGTGTCAGATATGCTAGGCCTGTAGGCCAAAGATGAAGGCCCCAACATTGCAGAGGAACCTCGGATAACTGTCCAGGCAGTCAGTTGTTTATGTCATTTCTCACATTTTTGGAAGTCACTTGATTGCATGTCCTGCTTACTTGGGTAATATTATTTCTTTCTTGAGTTTCTGAGGGAGTTGAAGATATTATTGTAGTTATAATATTCTTTTTTTTAGCAGTTTCAGAAAAGAAATTCACAACAGAGGTGTAAAGTATATAAGGTTGAGAGATACTAAAAGAGTTCTGGTAATACAATTAGATTAGGTGAATAAGGTACAATCCATTGGACTCACTCAAATAGGATAACAGAGTATTTTCTCTGAATTTGTCAAATGCAAATGGACTAGATGTTGTTGATGTATTTATTGCCTGTATATATTGTATATAGCGTTTGTACTTATTATATATAGTTTTTCTTGTAATAATTGTAACCTTTTTATTTTAAACATAAAAGGGAAATGTGATATTTTATTTGTGCTCTAACAAATGAAGCTTGTCTGGAGATCAGAGTGCAGAGCTAGTTATACTTACATTAGTTAAGTATAGAGGCCAGGCAGTGGTAGCACACACTTTTAATCCCAGCACCTGGAAGAGGAAACAGGAAATGATATGGCTGAGTGGAGAGAGGAATATAACAGAGGAAGAGACAGGAATTCAGTCCTTTTCAGTTTGAGAGTTATATAGGTAAGAACTCTAGTGGCTGGCTGGTTTGTTTCTCTGATCTTTCAGCTTTCACTCCCTAATATCTGACTCCAGGTTTTTATTACTAAGACAAATTAGATTCTTACTACAATGCTGTCTAACAGATGTCCTGAATTTTTTCCCCTGACTAGTTGAACCTTGTGTTGTTTGACCCACTTACCTCTATCCTGAGCCTTTCGACAGCCCCAGATTAGTAACACTGACACCTCGGACAGTATGAGACAAGCAAACTAAGAGAATCTGGGGACATGTATCACATACCAGCAAACGTCCTCTCGTGTTGTTTTTTTCCAACACCAATGGATCAATCTTGGAAATTTATACTTTCCAAACAAAGGAAAGTATACCAGACCAGGCATACATTAAAAACACTTTAGTTTCAATTTAGACTACGTTAGGTTCATTTTCCCTTTATCTCTCACTCTGTCCCAAACCAACCAAGCACCTGCAATTCCAAGGACAAGTACCTAATAGTTTTCATTCCAGGATACCTTTTTTATTAACAGCTTTATATACACAGAAATCACCAGATGAAACTACATGGCAGGCCCTTCAGCACAAACAGGAATAACAATGACTTCAATGGAATTCATCAGCTCTCACTACAATCAGAGTCCTTTCCCAACCTTCTCATCACCATCAGCAACAGACTCCACTCCCCTCCCAGCTTGATTGCCCTTCATAGTTAATCAAACACTTGCCCATCCCTCCTCAGAAACAAACTGTGGCCTGTGAATGGCCTGATCAGATTCATGCAGAGTGCTTGTTAAAAACCTCACTTCACTTTGCTCCAGGCCTACTGGTTCTGGGTATCCAGGAAAAAAACTCCAAGGGTATACATTTTCAGCGAGTCCTTAAAACATCAGAGTTCCAGAACTATCAAAGTCTGACTCTTTTCTCTTGCTACTTCTCTAAAATAGATCCCATGACTGTGCATCAAGAAGGTGGTAACAAGAGGCCTATCAAATGGTTCAGTGGGTAAGGGCTCTTGTTATGAGCACACATGCGTGCACACACACACACACACACACACACACACACACATAAAATAAAATAAAATAAATGTAATTTGAGACTGCTCATTGGTTTCCCAACCACCTAGACCTGAATAATCACACAGAAACATATTACTAACAACAACATTGTTTGGCCTATTAGCTCAGGCATATTTCTAACTCTCTTACATCTTAAATTAACCCATTTCTATTAATCTACATGTCACCACAAGGCTTTGGTCTACCAGTAAGATTCCAGTGTCCTTTTCCTTCAGGAGCTATGTGGTCTCTCTCTCTCTCTCTCTCTCTCTCTCTCTCTCTCTCTCTCTTCCAGCCATAGGTCAAAGTATTCATTAACCAATAAAAGCAACATATATACAGAAGGATATTCCACATCATCTGTCTAATTTAAAAGGGTTTTAACTTTAACATAGTAAAACTACATATACAAAACAGTTATAAAGCAAGAATAATCGTAACAATATTTAGTCCATTTACATTTGGCAAATTAAGGAAAATACTCTATCTTCTATCCTATCTTTGTGACTCTAGAGTTGTATATCTAACTTATCTTTTTCATAACTAAGAAAAACTATAACTACCTGTCTTCAACTCTTCAAAGATCCTAGAAGGATATAATATTACCTAAGTAAACAGGAAGTATGGGCCATGCATGTCCAGTTCATACAGCATACCATCAAGCAGTCCAGGCAAGGGCAGTTCCTTACCCAAATGGCTAGCCTTGTCACATTGAAGGTAAATCTCATAACAAGATATTTCAATGTGCATTAACCTCTCTGAAGTAATTGTTGTTGCCAGAAGCGGATGTGTCTCACTGTTGAGAAAAGTCTATGTTTTTAAAACATTTTAAATGTCACATTCTATAGGTCTTTGAAAGTATTGAAGATTATCTATCTTACTGAAATATATCTCTGTATATCTAGAAAACCTAACTAACGTGACTACATTATAGCAGACTATCTATTAATCTGTATTTCTTATACATTACATTTTTAAATGAATTGCACAAACACAATACCTTAAAAAGAACAGAAATACATATACACAGTATAACAAAATAAACCTTAAATATGTATCTATAGACCAAGATCCATACCAATACAAAGTATTCATCTCTGTATCATATCCCCCTCATTTTCTTTTTAGAAATTGACTGTTACCATTAATCACTTGCAACCAACCCCTTTTAAATGAAAACAAACATTTAAAAACAATCATTTTGGAAATTTGGGCAGAGTTTTCTCCAAATTGCTTCCTATTATTTGTTGGGTGAACTACTTTTAGGGCTCATGGTGACCTCTTGGGGGATCTTGTTCCATCAAATCACATTAGCTCAGAAGAAATTCATAGGTTCTCATCTTCTGTGGAAACAAAAGCAGAATCTCTTTTCCAAAACAACATATCCTTAGTCCCAAGTTTTGAAGTCAATATACCTTTATTTTGGTTTAACTTAGCAGCCCCAGAATAAAATGTTTCTCTGCAGTCAAAAAAATCAAAGAAAGCACAATAACATACATAATCCAGACTCTGTGTATATTCCATCTTTATGTGGCTTGTTTTTCTTTACTCCTTTAATCTATAATTGCCTGTACTTTTATATTACTTTTACTGTCTCTTTAAAGATTTTGTTTTTTTCTAAACTATTTACTTCTTTTTATGACTGTCTATATTCTATTTCCTCTCTCTCCCAAGCCTACGTACATTTTTTAAACACACTGTGCCTCATTTAGAGGTCTTTTATATATGAATCTATTCTATTATGTATCTGAAATCCTTTTTTTTTATAAGGAGCGCTTTTAAAAAGGTAAGCACTATGATTGTGACAGCCCAGGATGCTTGCTTTACCTCTCTTAGGCTTTTAATATGGCCGAGGTATATTATGGTTCCATCCTTACCACACCAGTCCCAGGGATGCAGTGATTCTATGTTGCCAATAAGCTCTGCTCACAAACTCCATTTAAGTGCTTCATAGCCAGACCTCCCAAAAGAGCCAGAGCCATTTGTACCAGTATGAACCAGGAAGCTGTCTCTTAAAGAAACCATGCCTTGGCTTGCAGCCAGCAAATAGAACCTATATGAAGGAAAAAAAAAAGCTGTGGCTACCAAGAAGCTGCACTTGGATCCCATTTTTGTGGGTTAAGAAGCCTTCTTTTTTTTTTCTTAAGCTTTTTTTAGGTTTAATGTGGACCCATGTATTACACCTTGGGGTCATTTAGTACTAGCAGACTGCTTGTTGGTTTCACAATCACCCAAACACAAATAATCACACAAAAGCTATATTAATAACAACATTGCTTGGCCTATTAGCTCAGGTGTATTTCTAGCCATTTCTTACATCTTAAATTAACTGATTTCTATTAATCGTGTGTTACCACAAGGCTATGGGCTACTGGTAAGTTTCTTGTGTTCTTTTCCTTTAACATCTGCATAGTGTCTCTTTGACTCTACCTACTCTCTATCTCTATCTCTATCATCTCTATCTCTATCTCTATCTCTATCTATCTCTATCATCTCTATCTCTATCTCTACCTCTACCTCTATCTCTATCTCTATCTCTCCCAGCCCAGCTATATTCTGCCCTGCCATCAGCCAAAGCAGCTTTATTCATTAACCAATAAAAATAACACATATACAGAAGGACATCCCAGATCAGTAATTGTTGTAAGGAGGCCACTTGTTTGTCCCAGCCACCCAGAACCAAAATAACTACACAGAAACTGTATTAATTAAATTGCTGTTTGACCCATTAACTCTAGCTTCTTATTGGCTAACTCTTATATTTAATTTAACCCATTTCTATTAATCTGTGTATCACCACATGGCTGTGAATTACCAGCTAAAGTTCTGGCATCTGTCTCCAGCAGGGCTACATGACTTCTCTCTTACTCTGTCTCCTTTCTCCCAGCATTCAGATTAGTTTCCTCCCCTACCCCGCCTACCTAAGTTCTGCCCTATCAACAGTCCAAGGCAGTTTCTTTATTCACCAATGGTATTCACATCATACAGAGGGTACTCCCACATCAAGTAATCTTGTTGTAGTAAGAAAGTTCTGGACATGGCTGAGACCATGTCGACAGCATACAATCACTCAGGACTTCATCTGCTTACCACAAAATTATGAGTATAGAATAATAATTTAATGCCTTGAAGAAGAGGAATATATATATGTGATAATCGCCATTTAAAGCAATCTGCTTATATGTGCAGATTTTATTTTGGAACAAAAAAAGACAGACGGTCCTTAACGGGACGTAAATAAGAGGTGGTTGCTGATTGAAATGAGAGACAGAAGCAAAAATATCCAGGAAGCTTCTAGAGAAATAACTGCAGGAAAGTGAATAAGGAGATGTTTAGTCAATGAACAACTTTCTCTTGACTTGTCTTTAAATTCACGTGTCGTCCCTGCTTACTGAATTACATTTCGGTGGCATTCTGACATTCTCCTTCGATGATATCCCTGAGCCTCCTACAGCAAACAAAATAACTCTTCCGACATAACAAGACACATAAAGAATGGGATGCAGCAGGAAGGCCGGTGTCTAGAGGCGCACGACAGCAAATGCTGAGGCCCGAAGGTTTACAAATTGCTTCCCGGAGTTTGCGTCACAGCAATTTTCACTCACTTTGAAGGTTTCTCAAGGGCAAAGTGCGTTTTTCTCTCCTAACAAACAGCCCCACTTGCAGCAGGAGTATAGTGCGCTGTGTCTATCCAGACACCAAAGCTAATAAAGCAAACCTGATAAGCTCGGGTTCAGAATTGAATCTCTTCCAAATTATCTTGTTCTCTCCACTGAGGAAGAAGTGTTTAGTTCCCATTCGCAAACTGTGTGTTGAGGACTCACTGGCAAAAATATAAAATGCAATAAA